GACAGAATCCTTTCAAACTCCATCTTGGAAGAAAGGAGAGGATAAGTAAACTTGACTTAAAATGCAAGAACCTTGTCGCGGTCGCAGTGTGCTACCTCGGCCACACGCGCAAGTTTCAGTAAGGAGTAGCGTGGAACATGAGATTGCGCTTCGGGCAACAAGACAGGTGAGTCAACCAACCTGTATGCACCTGCCACAGGATGAAGGACACTCTTTTCTCACTCTTGACTTGTGGCACCTGAAATTAATGACTTAGTCTGTATAACTCTGTGAGAAAAATGTGTGTCTCGACTTTTGCCAACATGTTAGCTTCATTGACCTTCGCTTTATCTTTCATGATCTTTCAGCTGCTGTAGCAAGCATCGCCTTCGGAAGCGGTTTCTGTGAGAAGACGATCAAGCCAGCACTGAAAGCCTCCTGCGTGTGTTGGGTTCCGGATTTCGGATAAGAGCCCCCTTCAGGCCCCAGAACTCTGAATGCTCCGTGCAGGTTGGACCTAAACCCTCAAAGCTCCTAGCCCCAAGCCCATAAACAACACATGCCTGGCTGCCTAAACCGTTTCCAAGGTAGGATTGACGGAGAAGGCGAAAACTCGAGCAGGCGTGCAGTTGCATGTTCGGGACATGCTTCAGGATTGTTTGCTTCTTCGGTTTGAGGTTCGGCACATGAACTTCGAAGGGTTGATGGGTCCAACCCAATGCCCGAAATCGACAAGGAAACTTCAATTCAACTGGTCTCGGTCGCTGAAAGCCTCTATTCTCGTTTGACGTACTCATCCAGATACACCTTGTCTGCAGACTCCTTGAGACGCGATTGTGGCTTCTCGAATCCTCCTCCTCCCCCTCGATGCCTACCACTACCACTACTGCAACTACTGCTACTGCTACTACTGCTACTACTGCTACTACTACTCCTGCTGCTGCTGCTACTACTACTACTACTACTACGACAACAACAACTACTACTACGACAACAACAACAACTACTACTACTACTACAACTTCTACTACTTCTCCTACTACTACTTCTGCCACGACTACGACAACAACAACAACAACTACTACTACTACTACTACTACTACGACGACGACGACAGTACTACTAGCACAACAGCTGCCACCACTACCGCTACTACACCATAAATCCACAGAGACTTAGTCGCCGCAATCGCTCGGCCAGGTGCTTTGTCAGGTGGTCAGAAGCGGAAGCTGTCTTTGTGCCTGGGCTATCCAGAGATGCCAGCACGCTATCCAGAGACGCCAATAGCCCTTGCAGATGTCGGAGTCGGAGTTCCGTTTACGGATCCCTGCTTGATTTGAAGGACCCCCAAAATCAGGGTGCCTGTTGTAATTTCAAGGACTATACTGCTGCCAAAATACGGGACATGTCTGGGCTCAAGGAGTCTTGAGGTGGCTGGGAAGATTATGCCAGACTTTGAGCTTTGAGTGTGGCTTGGGCACTATAGGCGGACATTCGTAAATACCATGCTGTCCTTATCGCGGTAGCTAAGCCCCATTCCAGGAGTTCGGTTTATCCGGGGTTTGGCGTGGTGCCCAGGGATTTGGGAAGTGCTTGCTGAGAGTCCATGCCTGGAGCATGCATTGGCCGAAAACCCAGAGGCCCTAGACTGGCCAGGAGCCCAAACCCTTCACACCCGAGAAGCTCAAAAACCCCTAAACCCCACTGTAAACCCTTACAGAGCTTTTGAAGGGGGGATGAAAACAAAAGCCCAAACCCTAAGCCCTAAACCTCCTTTTTTTTCGAACCGCAGGGCTCAACTCCTGAGGTGCCTGGCCTTGATCGGACGCCCCCCCGTCGTCTTCCTCGATGAGCCCACTTCCGGCTACTTTGGCAGCCCGGGAAGTTTTCTTGCAGGGTTTAGGGGTTTGGGGGTTTCGGGGTTTCAGGGTTTCTGGTGTGGAGCTTGGTTGTTTTCGGTTTCGGGTGTGGACTTGGGGGTTTCGGGGTTGAAGGGCTTCCGTTTTGAATAAGGTTTGTTATGTTAATATTCGCCGTCGTGGGAGTGCCGCGCCCAGAGTATCACTCCTAGACTGCCAGAGTGTGCCATGGAGTACAATGTAGATGCCGATATCCTGCCGAGCCAGAATCGCCGAACATCAGGCAAAGTATCCCCTGGAGTATTCCCGGCCCCACCTCCACTGTACCCGTATACCAAGAGTTCCCACTCATCGAAGTTTTCATGCTCACATAGCTATTCCTGTTAAAAGCACTGTAGAGTATCCCACCAGCTGCTTTCTTTTTAGGTGGGGATGCTCGAAGCGGATAACTGGATGTTGGCCTTGCTTTTGTTCATCGCCAAAGCCTTGCAAACTCTCATACCCCCAAGATTCCCAAGCCTTAAACTCTATGAACTAAACTCTGTTATCGGTGAAACTCAAGCCCCAAAGAGCAGGAAAGCCCCACATAGACCGTTTACACCCTAGACCCCGGCTCCTTCCGATACTCTATATCTCTTTTACGTACGAAAGCCCTGAAAGGAATGGATCCGTACAGCCGGCGATCGACGTGGAACATCGTCCGCTCTGCACGGGAGGGCCGGGTGGTCGTCCTGACGACGCACTTCATGGACGAGGCAATATCAGATGTGGGGGTTTCCCAGAGAACCCAATACCCCTTTATTGAGGAGTATACCTTAAATCATAGAATATTAAAGGCCTGTATAGTTGAAGGTATATTCCTTAATTAAGGGGTATTGGGTTCTCCGGGCTCGGATAAACAACACCAAGCCTCATTCCTTGACCCTGAACCCATGTCTGCGAAGCAAGCACTCTGAAACGCGCACCCAACACCCGAGTTTGCACTGAACCCCGAGCCCTAAGGCCTTGCCAGGTAGACCCCAAGCCTGAACCCGAAAACCCTACCTAACCCCCCCGAAGCAGGTAGAATAACTGCCCAACACCTACATAGGGCGATTCTTCTACATACTCTTGGGGGTTTAGGGTTTAGGGTTATTCTACATACTTTTGGGGGTTTAGGCCTCCAAGCCGATGGGATGTCGGGAGGCTGAGATTCTGGGAGATCGCGTGGCCATCATGTCCGAGGGCGCCACGGCCGCCCCAAAGGTTTCGCTGCAGTTTACGTCATTTTCTGAATACTATGGAGGCCTTAACAATGACCTATGCTATTTTGGGGGTTCCTTACTATAATTGTAGTATACTGATTGTGGCCCTTTTATTCTGGTTTGGATGAGCAAAGAGAACACCAGTCGCAATTCTGGATGGCCTGTACGGTTTGGGGGTTTGCTTGCTTTTGACTTGAAGGGGGGTTGAGGCAGAGAAGTTTTGGGTTCTTGGAATTTCTGGATTTTGGGGGTTTTGGGGACTGCTGTCGCTCCGCTTTGTCTCGTCGCATCGCGGCGCCGTGTGGAAGCCGGTAGTCCTGTCCGTGAAACACTGACCCGAGGCCAGTTGATGGTCTGCGGCTCCACCTTGTTTCTCAAGGCAAGGCGGTTTCGGTTTTACGAGTAGGGCTTTGCATGCCATGATGACGGTTCTTTGTGCTTGCGTTCCTATTTACATCTACATCTTAGTATGCATCTGCCCGCAGCGGCCTCAGGCATGAGGCATGAGGGTAGGGGTTGCTTGGCTAGGGGTTGATTAACATCTCTGTAGCATGTTCTGTGTCAGAGCGCAAGAATCTGCCGTATGGTGCTGGGTTTGAGTGAGTCGAGGTGTTCAGGGCTTGTGCGGTTCGGAGCTTAGTGGGCAGGGCTCGAGTTGAACGCGTAAGGGTTCGTACAGATTGGGGGGTCTAGGCCTTGGGGATCTGCTGCGCAGTCTGGCTTGTAGTGCTTCTGTCTTAGGCGGACTGACAGTCAGAGTATCCTGTATGAGAATTCCGAAAGTCTTGGGGCTTAGTGTGGAACTAGCTCCCTGCTTGATGCTGAGAACACAATGCACAGTCCTGATGCACGTGCTGAGCCAGCCTCATTGCCCCGAGGCAACACAACGGTCCAAGGTTTATGTCTCAGCAACCGAAACAAGCATCCGCGCAACGCAGTTGTCAAACGAGCGTGGTCATGCGAGCATACAGCTTCGAATGCACGACACGATATCTAGGTTGGAGGATGTAGGTCGTAGACCACTGCTCGTAGTTTCATTCCAGCGCAGGCAGCACATGACACAAGAAAGAAGCGAAGATATCAGATGCCTCTCCGAGGCTCTGAGCCAACATCCCGTAAACTGCAAGCACAAAGCCTAAGCGCCAAAGCTTATTCACCAAGCCCTAAACGCTGACCCCTAAACCCCCAAAGCCAACCCCCGACGGTTTGGGCTTCGTCTGCGGACTTAGCGGTTGTAAAGGCACGCTTCGGCGCCGGATATCGGCTGACCTGCGCCAGACAGGACTTGTTGGGGACGGTTTGCTACATGATGCCACCCTGGGCACCAGTAGATGAGAAGCAGTGTTAGCCTGTTTCGGTTTACGTGGTGGTTATTCTTGTTCTTCTTATCGCTATTGTCGCTTGCGGTGTTGATATTGCTGGCAGCGGTGGCAGCAGGGCCGTAGAGATAGAAAGCCTCCGGAAGCTTTGAAGCCTTAATTTCAGGACATGGCTGCACCGGCCAACGCAGCCGACCCTATCGAAGATGCCACGGGGTCCAGCTGGGAGTTGAACTGTTTGATCACTTTGATGCAAGGAACTTGTATGAATTCCCTTCGGAACCCTGGAGTTCGATGCGCGAAAACCCCAAGCCCCCTGAAAGCCTTGAGTTCTGAAGGCCCTAAACCTGAAAACGCGTGCAGGCTAAAACCCTTAACTCTGAAGGCTTCTGCACCAACTGTTGACTTCCGACGGAGTCTGCTCGTGATGCTGAGGTCGTCAAGCGCCATATCCCAGAAGCTCGAAAGATCACAGACATCGGTGCGGAGCTGTCCATGCAGGTGTGGGTTGGGTTGTTCGGGCTGTGCAGACGTAGGAGGCGCTCATGTTCAAAGGTCGTATACTTGTATTGGAGCAGGCTGCATATGTTGGGATCCATATCGTGTTGGGATGGCCATGGATGTGCAATATCATCAGTAGTGGAGCCCTGTACTGTCCGAAACCATATGCTTCCTCTTATCTAAAGTCTTTAACGGTCATGCATTCTGACCATCCTGCTTAGCTTCGATTGTCGACGATGGCAGGAGGACACTGATACACTAAACCTCCAACCCTTAACCCGAAACCCTGTAACCAAAACCCTGAACCCTAAAGCAGTAAACCCTAAAGACCCTAGAAGCCTAAACGCTAAACCCCTACATCCCAAACCCATAAATTCCCACCCGACCCCCTGGGGCCGTTCCCACCCATAACTGGGTGCCCAGACACTGAAGATGCCCGGCAGCCTTGGCACCCGGATTGGCCCAAACAGTGGGTGGAGCCTATGGAGAGTGGTCAAATACAGCCCCGATCTGGGATGTCAAGGGCTCCGCCTCGCAGCTGGCCAGCCACAGATACCTTGATTTTCACCTTGATAGGATTACTTTCCCTTGCAGAGCTAACCCAGAAGGGGTCCGGCAGGCAGCTTTCTGGGACCAGCATAGATTGAACAAGCTCTAAACCCCTAAACCTTAAAGCCCCAAACCCCTAACCCCTAAACCGACATATCCCTAAAGTCGCCAGCTGCCGTCGTCGAGCACCGGCAGCTTTCCCCCTCTCCTCAGGGAGCTCGACGGGTTTCGTGGTAGCATTTGGGGTTTAGGGGTTCGGGTTTAGGGTCCAGGGTAGCATGAGCAGGCGGTGTGGAGTTCGTGTTTCTGCCTTTCAGGGTTTGGGCAATAAAGCACAGGTGCACCTTTGAGCACAAACGCCATGATTTACAGCATCACCATAAGGAACACAGCAAGTGAATGAACCCGGCTGAGAGCTTCGATTCGCTCTTTCATAATAAGCTTTATGCTTCGTTCAGCGAGCCTAAAACCTTTAAGCCCAAGCCCCGAAACGCTTTGCAGCCCCTCAACAGAACCGAAAGTATACACAGCCGAATTCCTGCAGGAATAACAGCGCATTATGTGCTCAGGTTGCTACTTCGAGATTACTGATTTGGGGTAGGGTCCGATTCTGTTTTGTATACATAGGAGTACCTTTCCAACCCTATGCAGGCCCTTGGCTCTTCTAAAGGAAAGAACCCCTTACCCCTTTAGAATCGATGCTTGTCGTTTTCTTGGTCTGCTTTGTGAAATCTGAAGCTGTGAAATTCCTGCACCTTGAGGCCGAAGTTCTCAACAAGGGTTCCCTAGAAGGGTTCTATGAAGGGTAGGGTTCTTGTCAATCTTCCATATGAGAGTATACGGGCTGTCACACATGTTCTATTTCGAAGATTCAGGGTTTAGGGGGTTAAGGTTTGGTTTAGCGTTTTAGAGTTTAGGGCTCGAGGGCTCATCCTGAACAGACTTGCTATTGAAAGGCAACTCGCGGGGAAGAGCAAGCACGATAACATTTTTGGGGACTGTATACTCCGAACCCTACGTCTTTATAAATTCTTAGACACCAGCCCCCCACACCCAAAGCTGTTTAAGATCCGAGGTTCATGCTTGAGGCTCAAGCCACAAGCCCCTCGAAATCCCTGAGCCGAACCCCAAAGCCTTAAAGCATGCTTGGCCCAGGAGAGGTCGAGAGATCGGTCTCGCCCATTATGGCCTGTCCATGGTGAAACTCGAGGAACCTTGTCCCGAGCTTTCGCCTTGTCTTCTGTCCAAAACCCAGGATAGAGCAGCGACGTACTATTGCATAAACGAAATTGCAGAAGCACTTGGAAGAACTCCTTTTTGCCTCAAGTCGACGGTGCTCTCGGATCCCAAATCGTCGACAGCCTGAACCACAGCCAGGGCCGTTTGCGCTCATGTTCGCCTTAGCATGGCGTCAAGTTGGGGATGCGCACACTTTGTTCTCATGTTCGCCTTAGCATGGTGTTGGGTTGGGGGTGGGCGCCCTGTGCGCTCATGTCGCCTTAGCATGACATTAGGTTGGGGCTGAGAGCCCTTTGCACTCATGTCGCCTTAGACACGGCGTTAGGTTGGGGATGCGCACTCTTTCGCGCTCATGTGCGCCTAAGCATGGCGGTAGGTTGGGGATGCGCGCCTGTCGCGCTCATGTGCGCCTAAGCATGGCGGTAGGTTGGGGATGCGCACTCTTTGCGCTCATGTTCGCCTTAGTATGGTGTTGGGTTGGGGGTGGGCGCCCTTTTGCGCTCGCATGTTCGCCTTAGCATGGCGTTAGCTTGGGGGTGGCGCCCTTCGTGGCGTTAGGTTGGGGATGCGCGCCCTTTGCGCTCATGATCGCCTTAGCATATGGCGTTAGGTTGGGGATGCGCACTCTTTGCGCTCATGTTCGCCTTAGTATGGCGTTAGGTTGGGGGTGGCGCCCTTCGTGGCGTTAGGTTGGGGATGCGCGCCCTTTGCGCTCATGATCGCCTTAGCATGGCGTTAGGTTGGGGATGCGCACTCTGTGCGCTCATGTTCGCCTTAGTTTGGCGTTAGGTAGGGGTTGGGCGCCCTTTGCGCTCGCATGTTCGCCTTAGCATGGCGTTAGCTTGGGGGTGGCGCCCTTCGTGGCGTTAGGTTGGGGATGCGCGCCCTTTGCGCTCATGATCGCCTTAGCATATGGCGTTAGGTTGGGGATGCGCACTCTTTGCGCTCATGTTCGCCTTAGTATGGCGTTAGGTTGGGGGTGGCGCCCTTCGTGGCGTTAGGTTGGGGATGCGCGCCCTTTGCGCTCATGATCGCCTTAGCATGGCGTTAGGTTGGGGATGCGCACTCTGTGCGCTCATGTTCGCCTTAGTTTGGCGTTAGGTAGGGGTTGGGCGCCCTTTGCGCTCGCATGTTCGCCTTAGCATGGCGTTAGCTTGGGGGTGGCGCCCTTCGTGGCGTTAGGTTGGGCATGCGCGCCCTTTGCGCTCATGTGCGCCTTAGCATGGCGTTAGGTCGGGGATTCGCGCTCTTTGTGCTCATGTTCGCCTTAGCATTGGGTTAGGTTTGGGTGGGCGCCCTTTGCGCTCGTGTTGGCCGCTTTGCGTTGCGTTGGGTTGCGGGTTGGTGCTCTGTGCGCTTAGCATGGCGTTAGGTTTGGGGGGTCTGTGCCTTTTGCGCCCATGTTCGCCCTAACATGGCCTTGGTTTGGGGTTGCGCCCTTTGTGCTCAATGCCGTGTGGCGAGCTTCTATCAACCGCACCGCAGAGCTCGTCCCCCTCGTGCCTAAGCCAGCACATATAGAGAAGCCATTCCACCAAGTATCCTAATCCACTTCGCAAGCTTTGCGAGGTCCATGATGAAGATCGCAACCCAAACCAAACCCGCCTAGCCCCGTGAACCCCAAACACCTACAATCATGCAGGAGGTCTTCCTCAAGGTGGCTTCAGGGGAACTGGATAGCCTCGAGGCTGGTCCCCCTCCCTGGCAGCAAACCGGAGGCTCGGGGCGAGTCTTGAGGATTTAAGGAAACGTCAAAAGTTTAGGGCCTTTTGTAAACCCATGCATTCCATTCGTTTGGCCCTTCCTGATTTTGCCTCTGTTCTGGTAGGATTTGCTCGGAACAGCCGCAACAAAAGCAAAGCTGTCAAGCCTGAGCTTTAGACCAGGCTCGTAAGGCATCTCGCCTTAGTGTATCAAGTCGATAGAAGCAGTGGGCATCCTGTGCAAACGCGAGAGCATGGTTTCAGTGGGAACGGGTCCGGCTGGTTCGTGTTCAGGGCCACAGGTGACAACTGATGCCGGTGGATGTATGAGGCCCAAACCACCTCAATCCGCCCAGTTTAGCAGCGTTATGCTGCTTATATACTAAAAAATTTCCAAAATGAATCCGTAAAAAAAAAACACTAGACTCTGGAACCACGACTCAAAGACCTCCAAGCTCTAAATGCCCCTGAGCCCGAAAAGCATTGAACGCCAGCCCTAGATGCCGTAAAAGCTTCAACGGCCCTAGCACGCTGAGAGCCCTGACAGCACGAGAAAAGCCTTAGGCCCCAGATGCATCATAGCCTTTAGAGCCTTGAAAGCCACAGTTATCCCCAGTTAAAATGGGGGCCTTACTCACTAGAACAGGGTTTTGGGGCCCATTATGCTATACTTGTAGTCAGGAACCCTCCAAAACAGTATTGTAGTTGGTAATTATTCAGGCCCCAATAAGGCTCTAAAGCAGGTCTTCAAGGCTGGGCGGCTTTGCAGGGCACGGCGAGGAAGCGGCTGGCCTTGCGGCACTTGGGCGCGCGGGGGCCTCGGCCAATAGCCAATACAAGATTACATACGATGATATCATATGATGGTATATTATGTTACATGATCTACGTATTATCTTCTGAAACCTCGGTGCATTCCTAGTCAAACCACTTCTAATGTGGCGGTCGGATTAATAGTGGGGTACCCCCCCCCCCGACCAAAAAAAAAAATCCTCTTTAATTTGGAACCGGTAGCCCCGGACAGGGGTCAGGGGTCGGTCTGAGTGGCAGGGAATTGGGAGGTGCCGGGGTTTGGGGGCTGGCTTGGGTGCAGGGTCTGCGGTTCTGCGCGACTGCGCGGTCGGGGGTCGGGGGGGTCTGGGCCAGCGCTTGAAACCCTAAACCCTGAACCCTAAACCCTAACGAATCCTAAACTCCTAGACCCTATAACAAACCCTAAACCCTGAGCCCTAAACCCTTCCAAAGGGGAGTCGGTCCAGATTCGACCCAAAACTTAATTTTTTATACAAACTTTAGTACTGGAGAGGCCTCTTTTGAGCTAGGGTCCAATCCCCGATTCGGCGGTTCACCCTAGCAGCCCCCCCCAATAATCAAGGTATAGTAGAATAGTAGTACAGTAGTAGTACAGTAGTAGTATAATAATAATGCAGTAGTACAATAGTAATACAACAGTAGTACAGTGGTAGTACAATAGTAGTACAGTATTAGTACAATAATAATACAGTAGTACAATAGTAGCACAATAGTAGTACAGTAGTAGTACAGCAGTAGTACGATTATAGTACCGTAGTACAATAATAGTACAGTAGTAGTACAGTAGTAGTACAATAGTAGTGCAGTAGTACAATAGTAATACAACAGTAGTACAGTGGTAGTACAATAGTAGTACAGTAGTAGTACGATAATAGTACAGTAGTACAATAGTAGTACAGTAATAGTACAGTAGTAGTACAATAGTAGTACAGTAGTACACTAGTAGTACAGTAGTAGTACCACAGTAGTACAGTAGTACAGTAGTAATACAGTAATAGTACAGAAATAGTACCAATAAGCAAAGCATAAAGCCAGCAAAGCAAAGCTGAAACCCTAAACCCCGAACCCTAAACCCTAAAGAATCCTACACTCCTAAACCCTATAACAAACCCTAAACCCTAAGCCCTAAACCCTTCCAAAGGGGGGTCGGTCCAGATTCGACCCAAAACTTAATTTTTTATACAAACTTTAGTACTGGAGAGGCCTCTTTTGAGCTAGGGTCCAATCCCCGATTCGGCGGTTCACCCTAGCAGCCCCCCCCAATAATCAAGGTACAATAGTAGCACAATAGTAGTACAGTGGTAGTACAGCAGTAGTACGATTATAGTACCGTAGTACAATAATAGTACAGTAGTAGTACAGTAGTAGTACAATAATAGTGCAGTAGTACAATAGTAATACAACAGTAGTACAGTGGTAGTACAATAGTAGTACAGTAGTAGTACGATAACAGTGCAGTAGTACAATAGTAGTACAGTAATCGTACAGTAGTAGTACAATAGTAGTACAGTAGTACACTAGTAGTACAGTAGTAGTACCACAGTAGTACAGTAGTACAGTAGTAATACAGTAATAGTACAGAAATAGTACCAATAAGCAAAGCATAAAGCCAGTGAGTACATTCCCCCAATAAGCAAAGCATAAAGCCAGCGCCTGAAACCCTAAACCCCGAACCCTAAACCCTAAAGAATCCTACACTCCTAAACCCTATAACAAACCCTGAACCCTAAGCCCTAAACCCTTCCAAAGGGGGGTCGGTCCAGATTCGACCCAAAACTTAATTTTTTATACAAACTTTAGTACTGGAGAGGCCTCTTTTGAGCTAGGGTCCAATCCCCGATTCGGCGGTTCACCCTAGCAGCCCCCCCAATAATCAAGGTATAGTAGAATAGTAGTACAGTAGTAGTACAGTAGTAGTACAGATTTTCATTCCTGACGCCCCAATAAGCGAAACAATTCTGCAAGAGATTTTCGGGCTTCAGGGCCAGGGTTTTAGGGTTGGGTGGGGGTTTGGGTGGGGGTTTAGGTCGTGGCTGCCTTAAGATTGACCATCAGCAAATAGCACAGCCCCGCCACCAAAAAATCACCCCAGCCAAAAAAAAAACGCATTAATTAGAACACCCAAATTTTTTTGTCAGATTCGGAATTAGCCCCGGAGCCGACGCATTAAAAGAGCCTATATTCCTAAACCGACCCCCACATTACTTCTACTTCTCGCTCCGCTTCTTCTTACGACGACTACTGCTGCTACTATGACCACCATGAGTACGATATTGCTATATACGACTACGATGACTACCTGCACTGAGAAGGGGCAGGTTGAAGGCTTCGAGTTCCGGGTTGAAGCTTGAATCCGGGCCTTCGGTTTGGGTTTCGGGTGTAGGGCGGATTAGTACTGCTCCCCACTCCAAACTACACCGTCTCACGGTCATATACCTTGTTGAGGGGTCCTTGGCTCGTCAACCCGCATTTGTGTGTTTGTCCCGAGGTTCCCACTTTCTGCAACACCCACGTTCAAGAACTGCTCTCATCAGGCTATCCCACACCCAGGAAAGCTCAACCTTGAACGCTGGTTCCCATGCCGTGCCGAGGCTTTTTATGAAGCGTGCGAGATATGGCCGGAGGGACGTGAAGGCCGGTCATCCTGTCGACCTCAGGGTTGTGCAGCCCGCCTAAACACTCCGAAACCCTGTGCACTTCAAGCACCAACCCCTTCCGAAATCAACAAACATCTGCTAGATTCTAAGCTGGATCCCATCAGGCCCTCGCGTGTACGGCGGCAGAGCTGCAAGCAGCTTTGGGCAGAGAGTCGATATTGTGGGAACTCGTAGAGCCGTTTAGTGAAGTATACCCTCCACAGAGAGGCGAAGCTTTCTGGTCTGATAAGCCAGTCCAAACCCTGCAGAACCCTCCAAACCCATACCCTATCACCAAACCAATCCCCTCCACACAACGCGTAAATTCTGGGGAGCGGACTTCTAGCGCTGCAGACCGTGTAGAACGCTTAGGAGATCTTCTCTGAACCCTACACCCTGAACCCAAAATTGTCGAAGCCGTCGTTTTTGACTCCGAGGTTCTGATGCCCGTGGCCCTCCTGGCCTTCGGCCTGGGGATTCTGAACATGCAGCCCGGCTTTAGGTTTCAGCGCTCCTGAGGGCCTAACTTCGCGCTTTGTAGGTTGCGCAACGACAACTCAGCACTTAAACCAAGACCCTAAACCTGAAGACTGCAGGGAGCTTTCGTACGTCTGTACTTAAGGCTGCTCACCGAGACTGCAGCTCAACCATAAGCCCCGAAGCCCGAAGCACCAAGTCGGCCTTTCGAGAGGCTCGGCGACCGCCACGCGCCCTTGTTGAACCTGGCAGTTGAGAGCCAGCTCCTTGCACATTAATTAATATTAGGGTACCCAAGAAGGGGCCTTAATTTTGAGAACTACCCAAATGAATGCCAACGTGATGATGTTCAAGGGAATTGCCTTCGAGAGATTAGCCAGTACTTGGCTTGTACGTATGTGTCATCATCATCATGATTCTTGGAAACCGTGCTTGTGCGGTCAGCTTTGATTACTGTCTTCGTTCTGCTTCTTGTTGCCGTTGTCATTGTTGGATTCTCGAAACTCAGGATCAAAGTGTCCCTCGTTCAGGTGAGCTTTTCCTGAAGCCGTGTTAGGTCTTTACGTAGGGTTTTGCAGGAGCTCCTTAGAGCCCTTTCCCAGAGACTGCAGATCTTTACCACGAAGATATTGAGAGGCCCCCCCGTTTTCCACAAAGCCACGGTATGAAGCTTGCTTCGTTTGGTACCGTCTTGGGAGACTTTCGTCTTGTTTCATGGTGTCGGATCCTGAAAAAAAAGCTTTATGTCTCGTCCTGGAGGATGCCTTGTCTTAGGATGAGAAACGAGGTACAGTCCCCCTCTGTAGTAGTGTGATTCCAGCGTTCTCGCCCTGGTAGTTCTCGTCGTTGTGCTATCTGTATGATTTGTAGCATTGGCATAAGTGCAGTTGTTGTAGTGCTATTGCAACAGTGTGTATGGCAATATTGGTCATTCCACAACAGCATGCAGGTCAACAGGGCCCAGTCCAGAGTATCAGCTAATGACCTCTATGTGCTGGAAATCTCGGCTGTATCATGGACACCCCGAACCGTACAGTTCTGCGGAGCATCTCTGCTTCCGATTGTCCGATTGGCTCTCATATGAGGAGATGCTTTGCACCCTCTTGTTTTGCTCGCTCACTTACACATGCTAGAATCCGCTAGAATCTCTTCTGCCTCTTTATGTGCATTTTTCCGGAAGAGTTCTCTGCGAGCGATCAGCCTTCACCCTTGCCCTGTAGTTCTAACTGATTAACCTCCTCTGAGGGGCGTGTGTGTGGGGAAGTCCTGCGTCCTCTGCATATACGCACTCGCGGAGATCAGCAAAATATGTACATATGCACATATGGGTTTCGGCATGTACGTGTTTGGGTGTACAGGTGAGCGTGTATACATGTCGCTACACCTACACTCTATATGCCAGCAGTAGAAACCATGTATGCTCACAGACTGTGTAGTCACTGTGTTACGACATGGCGTATGATTCAACTCTCGGTTCTTATGTACCAGCTCGCATGCGCTCTGGGGTCATTTGCGGAGCCCAGTGGCAAAGGTTTGGCAGAGGAGTGCCTGTGCCCTTCAACGCCAGCAGAGGCGCCATGCCTTTGTTTTACGGGCTTTCTTGATATCCGAAACACTGATTCCCTTCAACCGGCATGTGCCGCCGGCCAAGCATATAACGCACAAAGGCACTAACTTTCGAGTTCCGGGGTGCAGGCGGACCCAGGTTTGGCATGCCGTATGCCAGCGGCCCTGAGGTCATGATGCAGCGGTCGGAAGAACCGCGGTTCCCGTATAGTCTCAGTTAGAACTCCACAGAAAGCCCTATTATACCTCTATATTGGCTAGTTCGTGTGCTTCGAGCTCTAACTTAGCTCATCTTTTCAGCCACTCGCTTCAAAGACCCACACCCGACAGTGCCCTCTACTGCAAGTCTCCCGCAAAGCCTGCCTGGTTAGTCTTTGTTATTCCAACCTCTACGGTTTAAGCTAGCTTGGCCACCGAAGTCTATGTCATATTTACTTGATCCCGGTGATTGCGCAAAAGCAGACTCAATCATTGCCCCGAAACCGCCGAAATCCAACACCCCGCAGCCCCGAACCCTTAGCGCCTGTCCCTAAACCGTCAACTCCAAGCCCCGAATCTGAACTCCTTAACCCTTTAGTGTTTAGGATTTAGGGTTTAGGATTTAGGGTTTAGGGTTTAGGATTTAGGGTTTAGGGTCCTGTAGCCCCCGGTATTCTAAACCTTCAACTTCATGGCCCTAACCCCCCAAACCCTCAACCCTACACCCGAGAGCCAGCGACCGTAAAGTCCTGGTCACGGAGGCTCGGAGGCACCTCGCTTGGCGGAGAGCTTCCGCCAGGTTCTGGAGGGATTGAAGACAAGGTACTGTAGGGCCCTAACTGATCACCTTTATGTTACTTTGGTGGTTCCTTAGTTATGACCCTTCGATGCAGGGGTTGACAGTTTCAGGGTTCAGGCCTCAGGGTTTAGGATTCAGGATACGAGTTGGATCGGGTTCGGGGAGTTCAGCATCTAGCGTCTAGGCTTAGGGTTGTTTTCGGGTTATGCGTGTCTATCTTGGCCCTTGTTCTTAATCCGAGATTCAGCTGTCTTGCAAGGTCATAGTGGCAACTTGTAATGGCTTTCTTGATGGCGGGACAATCGGAAGATTAAATTTATGAGGAGATCCTAGCTGAGAAGAGAACTTGCCTTTCGGCCAGTTTGGGGAGAGGCATGTAAGGGGCCGAAGTTTCTCGGCCACCCGCAGGCTTCAGGGCTTGCGAGGCTTTTGGGCTAAGTTGAGGGTGCGCTTGTGGACTAAGGGTGCGAGTGTTTGAGGTTTGGGGTCTTCTATCCCGGCGACTTTTTTCCCTTCTCTCCGTAGGTGGCTGCGGACCCAGAGCCGCAGCAACTGGTCGAAGGTCCTCGTGCGGGAGGGATTTTGGGGTGCGTAGTCCCGCAGTAGTATCGGAGGATTAGGACATGGAGTGTCGAGGTCGTTCTAAACTCGAATCCCGTGTCAGAGTGAGGAAGCAAAATGCAGAAAAGCCCGCAGATGGGCCTGTATGCTTGTGCACCAGGCGTTCGATTTCAGAATCATTGGTTTGGAGTCACTCGGGCTGCTGGCACTGTTTTGTCAAGATCGAGGCATATGTGTTGCATGCTTCTTCCAAGGTGTTCCAAGCTTGGGCTTCACGGCTGTTGGGCAGGTGAGGGCATAGGATCACTACTCGTTACCATCTATCTGGGTCGAACTATATTCACGAAGATCTTGAAGCCTGCTACGTCGCCTAGTGTGCGGAGCCTGCACCACATAATCCCATGGAGTAGCCAGCATCTGGGCAGGCTGATTGGTATCTTCAATTGGGGTTATGAGTATGTTGCTCCCTTCATCGGGTATGCACAAAGGCCTTTTTTTGAGATCTCCATGAAGTTGAGCAAATGTGGGAGAGCGGGCCTGTCGGCTGCAAGGAGTCGCGGAGGGCATCATCTTCGGTCGAAACTACTCCAATGGCCAGCCCGTCTTCGAAACTGGGCTTACGTCCAGCTATAGACCCGAACCCCATGCCCTAAACTTTCAACCCTAATTCATGCACTTTCATCATAAACGTGCAAAGCGCTCACCCCTTCACCTCGGAAATGAAAGTTGTGGTGCACGGTTAGTCGGCCTGCAATCGGCCCTGGACCGCTTCCAGTTCCTTATTACAATATTTACAGTATAATGGGCCCCAAAACCATATTCTAATTATTAAGGCCCCCATATTACGCTATGCCCGATCCCACGATTCCAGGAACCCCAACTCCAATGATCCAGGCAAGAGCTGATGACAGACAACGCCATGAGGAGGTAGGGTCTAGCTTAGGAGATAGCTATAGTCTCCTTAGGAATTACTTTTTGTTCACATAAAACCCAAGAAAATAGCAAACATATAATCGTTATTGTGGTTCTAACGGGGGTATAGATAGCTGGTGGCCCACTCGACCTTGAAGCCTAAACCCCAAGCCCTAAATCGTAAGCCAGGGGATCATAGATCCTGTGTTTTTGACATAGCAAAAACGAAGATGGAACGTATAGCATGGGCACACTGTACTGTCAATGTGCTATGGCCCAGTACAAGACAAGGTAATAAGACTTGAAGTTATGTAATCGAAGAGAGAGAGAACTCCACTATAGTAATTACACGGCCGGACTTCCATATCTTGTGAAACCTACTCTTGTTGATGCAAGTATTGAAACCCCCAACACTGGTCCCAGACTTGGAAGCCTCCGCGACATATTCGGGTTTGCTGATGCGTGGCTTAGGATGTAAACCGCAAGCCACCCCCCCCCCCCTTAGTACTCAAACCTTGAGCCCGGAACCCTGCAACCAGAAGCCCGAAAGCATTAACTCCCAAACCCCAAGCCCCTGTGGAGATTCTCGTCGCACTAGCGAAGGTGCAGTTCTTCATCTACCAAATTCCCACGAAGCACTCCCTACATGCACCCTAGCACCTAGAGCTACATAAACCCGATAGTTCACCGCTCACGGGCTCTCTGAAATCAAGGAAATGTGCGAGGAGGAGGTTAGACTCTTCTCGAAGTGCTGGAAGGACCTGCTCAGAAGGTTCCAGTTTTTTCAAGTTGAATATAGTGGCCTGAATGGTTAGAATGTTTCTTTGGGTTGTAAGGGTGCCATGAGGTTTGGATAAGCGATAGGCTTGCCAACGTGTCAGACCACTGCTGTGTCTAGGGCTTGCAGGGTTTGGGGTGTGGGGGTTTTAAGGCCAAGGTTTGAGGGTTTAGCTAGGACCAGAGGCTGGGGAGTATGGGCTCAAGCTTTGGAGCTCTTCGGTCCGAGAAAGGGCACTGCAAGGCTCTTTTCAGGCAGTTTCACGGTTCCTCCAAGGATAATTCTAGAGCCTTTCTAGGGTTTTATAGGGCTTTACAGCTCACAGCTCCCCCTCAAAAGCCTACACCGCCCTAGACCCCAAAGTTGAAATCCTACACCCGGCGCCCAAGACCCGATCCCTCAGCCTCAAGGCGCAGTTCCGCTATCGAATCTTAACATGGTAAGCTGTTGTAGTAGTCGGCACCTTGCAAGAAGCCCGTGTTCCCTTTTTCAATTTCTGTTTCGAGACTCACCTAAGCCCTACACCTTAAAAACCCTATCTTGCGCTGTTTGCTTTGGCCAAGGGGATGAGAATCGGGGTGCCTATGAAGGCAAAAGCTGAGGATCGCTAGTTGCAGCCCAGGTTCCAAAAGACAAGTACCTAGAGTGTGCCATAATATGCCATATCGTACTATAATGTACAATGATTGTACCATAATGGTTACATGATAACCTGCTCCAATATACTATAATATACTAGAATCTGCAAGAATATGCCATGATGTCCGCTAGTAGACAAAGTGCAAGGGCTTCGCACGCCATATTCGTAGAAGTGTGGCCAAAGGAACCCTGACGCCTTCACACCCCAGGAGAACAATCTGTGCGATGTGATGAAGGGCTTTCTGGATCTTGCAAGCAGCTGAGCTGAATGGAGCTGGCGCCATGGGTTTTGTCGGTTGAGATTTTAGGGTCAGGGCTTGAAGGATTTCGGGTTAGGATTTAGGGTCTGTTCGCACCAGCTCAGCATAACTTACCGCCAGAAGTAAATACATTTGACGCTCCCTCTCCCCTTCCTTGCCACCCAACAACCACAGCCTGGCCCAACCCAAGCTTCCGGCCTGAAACTCTTCAGTTTCGTGCGTGACAGGTTCGGGGTGGAGGCTTTGGGGTGTTGGGTGCAGGGAAATTGACGCAGGGTGCAGGATCTTGGATTTCGGTGGGGTGAGGTGCTGGATTTAGAGTTGCGACAGGGAAAAACGGCTCTCGTGGAATCGGATCCTACACAACACGTGTAGATTGCGTCTCTTGGGTTGAGTGTTTGGGCAGGTCTCATGTCTCCCCTGAGTGACACCCAGCCCTAAATCGCTGAAGCTCAAGCCCAAAACCCTCACCTGCAAACCTCAAACCTCGGCCCTCGCACCTCTTCATCTTGAGCGGGCGTCCTTCACCGCAATGCACACGGGGCTTTCTGTAACCTGTTCTCCCGCTTAAGACTAGAGTGCCGCCCTAAGCGGCCCTAAGCCCCGAACCCTAAACCCCGAACCCCCAAACACGAGGCAAAGTGGGGATGGGCATCGGCTGTGCTACGGACAGAGCCGGCTGTAAGTCTGCCATCGCGACGGCCTGCGAGGAGCCGGGTCCAGGGTTTAGGGCTCTCTTAGGGCTCTCTAAGCGTCTTCTTAAGGCTTGTCTCATGGCGTCTGCATGGGGTTAGGAACTGCGCAAGAGGGGTTTCAACTGGGTTCTCACAGGGTTTTGATCTCAAGTGCAGTTTTGGGGAGTTGAGGGTCTCGTTGGAGGCTGCGGTTCAAAGCGCCGGGAGATGCAGCGAATACAGGACCTCGGTAACCTAGTACAGAATCTTGAGTAGGAGGATGTTTTTCGTAAGGACCACCCGAACAAGGGGTCGGGGTTTTCTGAAGTTCTATATTCGTCAAACCCGAGACCTCCAGACGCAACTTCTATACCACCCTCTAAAACGCGCACCATATCAAACCAGTTTATCAGCTCCCCACTCCAGGTTACTAAGCAACAAAGCATAAAGACCACGTCCGAGACCCCTGGCCTAAGGGGGGCGCAGCCCAGTGCACCGACACCTGCCTTTCACAGGCGGCAACTGGGTTTCAAGCAATTTGGGGGTCGGAACTTACGAACACTGTTCATTAGAGTTCCTTGTTATGATTAGCTGATGTATACCGTATGGCTCCTCATTACAAGTAGCGTACCCTGTTCTGATTATCAAGGGCCCTTTGGCAGGGCATTATCTTGGTTGTTATAGGGCTTGACATAGCTTGTTTAATGTTTTCAAGGCAGCTCAGGTGAAAGAAAGGCAGGTTTTGATTTCTCTGGTTTTACTAGTCGTGTGAGAGGTTGCAGAAGACAGGAAGCAGGGAGGCCGCAGATTCGAAACCCTGCAAATTCGTGACGCCGAAGGTCGAAAATAGGCAACAATTCAGAGTTTGCTCTTCGTATTCAGGGTTCTCGGATTGACGGTGGAATGTTAAGGCTTTCGGAGTTGTTGGCTTGTTGATTTGTGGCCACAGCTTCGTGCGTGGCTTGACACGTTTCCGGGTTCGCTTCAGCCTTGCACTTTCGTTCGGGATCAAGAAGCCCTTGTGGGAATGTGTTAGGCCTAGGCCTAGGCTGCCAAGGTTTCAACCCCATTCCCCTCGTCTCAACATCCCCTCGTCTCAGAGCCCCAAGACAAGGCCCCCAAATCCTTCAGCCCTGCAGTCATGCCGTGCAATTTTCCCACATTCCCACACCTACATCCCCAAGAAACCTTCATGTGCAGGCGGACGTGTCGCCAAGCATTTGCCGATCTCAGTGTCGACAGGCAGGTCTTGGGGTCTCAAACCCCTGCGCAAACCCAAGAAGGTATTCTGGAGCTTTCAACTGACTCTCCGAGTGGTAGCATCGGCGCATCGCTGCATTGAGCTTTGGCGGTAGCGGCAGTGTAGGAGGAGTAGCAGTAGTAGAAGTTAGAATCAGCGTTGGAGTTGGAGTTGGTGCATGACCACGTATTTACTACGACTACGATGACCGTGCTAGTTGCAAATGGTGCCATTACCAGCTTCGGACGAATGTGCAAAAAGAAACGATGAGAGCGTTTATGGACCGTACTTACAAAGAATACTGCAGCTAGGATGACGAGTACTAGCGGCAGCGCGTGGACGGCTAGCAGTTCTTCGTCTTCTCCTTTTGACCAGCCCCGTTCTTTACATAGATTCAGAAGACGTCGATTCCACCGGTAGACAGCTTTGCACATTGCAGATCTGCGAGCTGGCGCCGAACTTCACTAAGGTGTGGAGGGGCGAGTTTGTGGCAAGGGACTGCTGGTTTGGAGTTGTGGTCGGAGCATCAGACTGTGTTCCGTACTCGGTTTGGGCTGGAAGGGTTTACGAACCCAGCGGCCTTAGAAGATTCTAGCCGCAACCTGCTCTGGACCCGATCGAAGTCAAGGTAGTGAAGCCCTATAAGTCCCCAAGCCCTGAAGCCTTCAGCCTTAGAAATGTTTACAAGCTACGAGTCATACCTAAACACTATATGTGGGGAGAAGCGACTTCGTTGGCCCGTATTTCTCGTAGCCCGCACCCTTGCCGCTCTCTTCTGCCCACCCTAAACCCTGAGCGCCCAAATCCTGAGCTGCAAACCTAGAAGTCAAGAGCCAAAGGCACCATAAATCCAATACTTCTTCACCCTGAGTATTGGAGTTGGTTACGTGTAGACCAAGATCCCATGCTGGATAACCACAATGTATTCCGGTCTCAATATCCCAAGCATAGATCCTGACCAGAAGGATCCGGATCCTAAAGACCCCAGAAAAGGACCCTTAGTTTTGAGAAGCTTGCTGGGGCTTCGTGAGCTGACGCACTCGAGGCATTGGGGCAGATCCTGAGCCTGTTGCTCATGATGGATCATGGTGATGTTGATGGTGATGGTGATTGAAAGGCCGATGATGATAGACGGTAGCATAGTAGTGGTGATGAGGATGACGGGGAAGATCGGGATGACGATGGCGGTGGTAGTAAGATAGGGGCCTCGATAATTACCAATACTATTGGGTTTCCTTATGATAAGTATAGTAAAATGGGTGCCAAAACCCTATTCTAAGCAAGCCTTAATGCTTCAGAAGAGGACGCTGTGGGAACCTATGGTTTTGTAGTTTTCGGTATCGGTTGCATGGTTTTCGGAAGTCTCACGGCGTTCCCTTCGGTAGCATATAATAGTTAGCTTGCAATAGACATGGAATTCAAGATTTCCCGAAAAACTTTCTAGAGGTATCTTGGATCTTGGATTCCGGGGGGGGGGGCTATTGAGGTTCAATCGCCGATATTTAACCTCAATAGCCCCCCCCCCCGGAATCCAAGATCCAAGATGCCCCTAGAAAGTTTTTCGGGGAATCTTGGATTCCATGGTTAGGGTTTATTGAGGTTCAATAGCCGATATTTAACCTCAATAGCCCTCCCCCCCGGAATCCAAGATTGTCTGAAAAACTTTCTGGGGACATCTTGGATCTTGGATTCCGGGGGGGGGGCTATTGAGGTTCAATCGCCGATATTTAACCTCAATAGCCCCCCCCCCGGAATCCAAGATCCAAGATGCCCCTAGAAAGTTTTTCGGGGAATCTTGGATTCCATGGTTAGGGTTTATTGAGGTTCAATAGCCGATATTTAACCTCAATAGCCCTCCCCCCCGGAATCCAAGATTGTCTGAAAAACTTTCTGGGGACATCTTGGATCTTGGATTCCGGGGGGGGGGCTATTGAGGTTCAATCGCCGATATTTAACCTCAATAGCCCCCCCCCGGAATCCAAGATCCAAGATGCCCCTAGAAAGTTTTTCGGGGAATCTTGGATTCCATGGTTAGGGTTTATTGAGGTTCAATAGCCGATATTTAACCTCAATAGCCCTCCCCCCCGGAATCCAAGATTGTCTGAAAAACTTTCTGGGGACATCTTGGATCTTGGATTCCGGGGGGGGGGGCTATTGAGGTTAAATATCGGCTATTGAACCTCAATAGACCCCAGCTGCATTCTGTAGGGTATTGCAGATGGTATTCTGTAAGGTACATCGGGGGTATATAGGGTGCATTGTACAAGGTATTACACGGTATTCCATGTAGGTGGTATTCTAGAACGTATTTTACAAGGTACTCTACAGGCGCCATAGGGTATTCAATAAGGTATGTCTGAGGTATATGGTGGGTCTTTTATGAGGTATTTTGCAGTGTATTCTATATGAAATTCTCCAGGGTCTGTAAAGAAAGGGTGTGTTCTATATCGTACTTTATGATTATGATGCTATTCCTCCAGGTTCCTGGTTTCCTTCATAGAAAGCCCTTACTCAATTATAAGCTCCAATAATAAGCTCCAGTTCAACTAGGGGAATTCTCAGCTCTTGGACTCCTTTCGATTTTCACTATTTGACTGCTCTATCCTTACGGCGTTCTATAGGTATCCCATAGGGTACTCGAAAGGGTATCGGATAGGGTAATAATATCATATCATGGCAATATATATATATATATATATATATGTATGTATGGGGTATGCGTTTTGCATTCTATAAAGTGTTCTGTGCGCGTTCTATCGGGTACTCTATAGGGATTTTCTTAGGATTGTATTCTTTAGGTATTCTTTAGGCTATGATATGTGTATATATATATATATATATATATACTGGTATGATAGGTATTCTTAGGCGATAGCGGGTAGCATATTCAATCAAGTGTGCGTTTATATATATATATATATATATATATATGTGTATGAGGTATCTAGGGAGGATTCTACAGCATATTCTGCAGGATAGTCTTTATGAAATTCATTAAGGCATATAAGGGTGTGTTCTGTAAAGCATTCTATAGGGTATTCGCCTGAGTTCCTGACTTCCTACAGAAAACCTCTACTCAATAAGCTACAGTGTAGATGGTGAGGGCGAGATCTTATGCTCCTCCTGGTTGTCCTTATATAAATCCTCATAGGTTTTCGATACGGTATTCTACAGGGTTTATGAAAGATATACTGGGGGTATCTTGCATGTAGATGATATTCCATGAGGTACTCTGCAGGCTATTCCAGATGTCTTTGTAAGGTGTACATATATATATATAGGTATATGTATATACACATACATATCGGGTACATTGCGCGTACTATGCAGAGTATTCTATAAGGAATTCTATTAGGTATATTTTAAGGTATTGTATAGGGCATTGTAGAGGGCATTCTATAGGGTATGTAAAGGGTGTTCTGAATGGTATATATGATTCAATTTAGGTGGTATTATAGAGGGAATGCTATAAGGAGTTCTATAAGCTACAGGGTGTTCATTAGGACATATGCAAGGTATATAGAGTGCAATGATGCGTCGCAACTTGGAGGGCTTGAGGGTTTTCCGGTTTTGGTTTGATAATTCTATGTTTGCTTTTCCTTGGTACGTCGTTCCCGACCACTACAAACCTTGAAAACGATAGGTTCCCACAACGTCCTCCTCCCTAATGCTTAGTAAGCATTAAGGCCCCTCTCTTAAATCCGTATAATAGCCCTTATGGTAGGTAGCCCTTATAGACCACCCCAAAGGAACCCTATTTAGTGGTGATAATTGCCGCGTCTGCTTCCCATCAGCTTCCACAGCTTGCAAGGCGTGTGATCTCCTCAAGCCTCCGTTTGCCCCCAACATCGCCTCCGTGTGCCCCGTGGAGTGCGCAGATTCCTCCGACCCGAACACTTGCTCCGCGACTCAAGATGGCTCGAAGAGGGTTTGAGGCTTGGGGGTAGCTGAGGGGCCTCGGAGGGTTCGAGTGAAGAGGAGCGCCATGAGTGCTCGGGGTCGGGTGTTGGATGTGCAGTTCTCGTCTAGGAAGCTACAGCAGAGGAGCGACCAAGTGCAACCAATTTTTGGGACATGGGGTGGCGTATAACTTGAGCTTCGGTTCAGCAGCTCATAAATTTTAGCAGCCGCATTTTGCAAATACAACACCCGAAAGCCTAAGCCCCATTGCAGATAGTTTGGTTCTGGTGGCATACGGCTGGGCATTGGCGACGGTTTGGCAGTGGAGCAATCTAGAGGTCTCAATGTCAAGAATTAGCCAAAGTATACCCTTATTGTCCCGCGTATAGTACAATGTTCACAAAAGCCCAATTCCTGATGTTTCAACTATTCGGGTCTCAACATGAGGCTTCCCTGCTAGAATCCTTCTTTATAGAAGCAGGACTCGCAGACTGCAAACAATTGAAATCAAAATCCCCAAACCATAAACTCAACTGAGGGCATCATCCCTAAGTCCTAAAGTCCTAAACTCCACACCCTAAAGTCCTGGACCCTAACCGAACCGCTACAGTCCTAAATCCGAAAGTCTTAAAACCCTAAACCTTGCAGTCCTAGACCCCAATCCTTAAACCCTATAAAGTCTTAAACCCTAAACCGTAAAGTCCTAAACCCTAAACCCCAAAGCCCCATACCCCAAAGCCCCAAGGCCCCAAAAACCCCAAGCCCCAAGCCCCAAAACCCTATGAAGTCCTAAACGTCTTCATTTTCAGACGAGGCCGGCCCGGCACTGTTTGCAAAGAGCCGGATCCGGTGCCTGCGGCCGACCCGGCAGCACTGTCACTCGGATGATTTCGGGGTTTAGGGGTTTTAGGACTTTGTTCAGGGTTTGATTTTTGGGATTTAGGGGTTTTAGGACCTTATTTGGGGTTTTTGGGTTCAGGGGTTTTAGGACTTTGCTTAGGGTTTGGGCTACTCGAGCTGTAGGAGTCATAATTCAAGTGCATTAATCATAAGTCATAAGAGGATTTTAGAGGAGCTGGATGGCTTCAGATTGTGGGACCTGGGACTGGGGTTTAAGACTTGGGGGTCGGGCCTAGAAGCAAGCTTTCATCCTAAAGTCATTATTGGGACCATTGGTGTGGTACTTAGTGTGAAGACTGCTGCAACTTAGCAAGGACTTGGGCCGGACCACAAGAGCTACCAACATCACCTGTCAGAAGCACCACCATTTCTGCTTCCCGGTGCTGCTGCCATGTGCCCTGACACCTCGCACTCCCAAAACTCGCGCCCCCAAAAGCCTTGTCGAGGCTTTCGATGTCCACGTTGATCTTCGACGAAGGCCGGCTGGTCATCGCCTTTTGCTTCGGTGTAATTCAGGGTGCGCACCGGGTCTCAGACCTGAACTCTGCATCCTACACGTAGGCCCCAAGGCCCAAGACCGGAACCGGATGGCTCAAACACTGTTTGTAATCACTGCAAGTTCATTCACGAACTGTTCGCATGCTCATAGCTGTATACACATGCGTGTTTCTGCGAGATCTTCTCACATAATCTATGTCAGCGTGAGCAAAAAGCAAACGAAGACACATGCATCTTGGGCTCTGGGCTTGTTCGTGGTGTCTGGGTTTCGACTCAGGTTTCTGGTTCCACAGTTTAGTTGCAGCACTGGGGTTTATGATTCATGTCAGTGCTCTGTTGCAGGGGTCAACACAAAATCTCAACAATCACCAACATCGTGCGATGAAAGTCCCAATGCAGGTACATCACAGTGTACGCCCAACATCTATTCTAATCTCTCAGGATCCTGTATGAGGTTTCTCGGCTGAGGGCTTTCGACCAGGGTGAATCCTGCAACCTGAACTGGTGGTTTTGCAATGCACCGTCAAGATCCATCAAGTATACGGGAATAGGGGGGCCTCTTCACAGGATTTATGCCGTAGATCATAGGCGATCCCTTTGATGACTCAAAGTATACCTCAAATCATTAGGGGTTCCTACTACATATCTCTCCGGAGTTTCCTTCGGATGATCTTGATCGAGCGGCTTGGGAGTCTTTGGGAACCCCGGTTGCCTGGGACAGCTAGCTCTTGACAGAAATCTTGTTGGGCCTCTTGGGATTTGGGGCTTAGGGATTGGCTCTTCATGGTTTTCGGTGGTTTGGTGCAGATTGTTTCGAGGGTAGAGCTATGGTTACAAGCCCGAAAGGTAGGAGTACTATACGGGCCTAAATAGTTACCTGCACCACTTTTGGGGTTCCTTATATCAATTATCGTATAGGGGCCCCAAAACCCTATTCTAATTATTGAGGGCCCTATAGTATGTGCCGGTCCGGATCCCCAAGCACCCTCAATTGTCCAAACCACAGCGCCCAAAATCGCGAGGGGCCCACATCTCTCGCAGACAAGATGTGCGAAGCACGGTCCAATCATGTAGGATTTCGATTTTCAGGTGTATCTTGGCCTTTGTAGCCATGGGTGTGGGCTTGGGAGGAAGGATTTCGAAAACGATTTTCGTGTAACTTTCTTGAAGCGCGGCTCTTGTTATGCTTCTGCGTCTTGTTTAGGAAGTTCGATTTTCAGCATAGCGCGTTTTCTGGGTTGGGAGTCCGGAAGTTTGGAGCTTTCGGGGACTTCCGGAACGGGGTCGGAGTTCAGGTCCGGTACTTCGGGTTTGCGGCGGTTCCAGACTTGAGACTGTCGGGCTTCGTGGTTCAAGGGTTTCGGGTTTAGTTGTGCAGTTTTTAGGGCTTAGGGTCACGTTGTTTTTTGGATTAGGGGTCGGGTTCGGGGTTTGTAGGGTTCTGGAGCTTTAGGGCCTTCGGGTTTCAGATTTAGGCTGGTATCACAACCGGTGCGCATTTCATAGTTCAGGGTGTCATCACCTGTCAAGGTGCGGCTGCATTCTTAACTCTGTGTGAGACCCTAAGCCCGACCCTTAAACTCCAAACCCCTCTCGCTCCGCTTCTTGTCAATGCAGAACTCAAGAGAGCACGCACATAAGGCCCCGGAAGGCACCCCCGAGGCACGCCCGTTCGATGTCCATTCTGGTAGAATCGGAACCACATAGGCGAGTTTCAGAAGCTATAGGAGATCCTATGCCCCATCCTCAGGTTTCCTGGCTTTTTTGGGGCTCAGACGGCCGAAACGTATGGAGTTTAGCTTAGCTTTGGAGTTTAGGGTTTAGTAATTTAGGGTTTAGGGTTTAGGGTTTAGGGTTTTAGGCTTAGGAGAAAAGTGTCTAAGAGTCTCGGCAGTTGAGGATATGGAGCCGTGGTGACAAGCTACAACAGCACCACAGGCCGCGGAGTGCAGAGAGCTTGTCATGGTGACCCGAGACCCTAAGAGCGGGTTTGGGCTTGTGGGTTTTCTGCTTACGGTTCATGGCGAAGGGCCTTCGGCATGTTTTTTTCTGAAACATTGCGGTGAGCTTAGCATCTCTAAAGCCTTCTTACAAACGGCGCGAAAGAAATACTAACAGCATCTCTATGTGGTTAGACGAGACATTAAATCACACTTTTCTTCCCAGGCCCGAGTCTGTTCAGTAAACCCTGAGCTAGGCATGCAAATGCAGCGAAACCGAGGCTTGTACCTGTGTTGTACAGGGCTCTGATATGAAGGAGTCCCAAGAACCCAGAGGTTGCGACATGCTCATGTTTATACACTTACAGCTTTACCTCTAAGCTTTTAAAAGTGTTGAGCATTTTTCCGGTGGACATGTATGTGTTGGCACGGTTTGGTTCAGGCACCCCTCTCTGGAACATCTTTATTATGCTGCAGTGCAATCCAACAGAGAAGGAACCCCTTGTTCATGACACTTGCCTAATGTCTTGAGTCTTGAGCGAAGTACTTGGTATTCTGTTGTGCTGCCGTATGGTTCAGAATGTAAGCCTTTCAGTGCCCTCTAGATTTCACTACATTCCTCTTTTGCCTTCCCTCTCTTCCTTTGCCTACTTAGCTTCGTTGGCATTTCTGGGGCATCTGGCAACCACAGGCTGAGTCCCACCCCCAAGGGCTCCCCGAAAAGCACAAGTTCCAGAGGTCCGGAGTCCCTGAAGTCCCTGAATCCCGAAGCCTCATCCGGCATCAGTTAGAGAACCCTCCAAAGCAGGGAGAAAGGGGGCCTCCTGGCGACCAAATGCTTCGGGGTTCGAGTTGAAGACTTTCGTGGATATTTTTCTGCACAGCTTCCGGAGAGTATGCCGGCAGTGTCCCAGGGACAGCCGTCACTCTTCTCTACAACACCTCCGGACCGCATGCAGCGCCAGGATTCTTGAATCTGCTTTCTGGCTGGAGTGAGAAGGTGAGACGTCCCTTAAGTCGGCTTGCAAGCCTTAGAGTTTCAGGTGGTGTGCGCCCAATTGGGTATGACAAGATCCACGGTTGGTTTCGAGATGTTCCTACAGTTGTCTGGTATGTAGGCCCGGCTGACAGAGGGCCTAAACCCTGAGTGCTAGATCCCTACCATGCCCGGTGCTTCTGGCTGGGGAAACCCCAAAATTAAGCCCGAAGACTCAATCTAGAAGATGGCTTGTGTCCCTACTCCTTCAAACCCCAACTGGTTGAACCCAAGTCGGTAAGAGGGACGCCGTATGTCTAGTGCGTATCAGTCCTTTTTTTAGGAAGGCAGACAAAGTGCAGTATGTCTCAACAGGGACTCCTCGTATAGTATAGTGTCAGAGGAAGGACCCAGACTTGTATTTCTTCAAGGTAGAACAGCCCAGCAAAGTGGAAAGCTGAGGCTTTCCGGCGCACTGCAGACACTGCTGCTCGGCCAGACGGGGCGAACTGAGGGTTCAAATCACCCCTTGAAGTCGGCTCTTAGGGTGCTCTCTTGCGCCTTGGTGTTAGGGTTTCCGGAAAGTCATGTCGCATGCGGCTCAAGGCCTAGAGAGTTGTTGAGTAACCACGGTTTCAACTTGGGGGTTCCTTGAACCTTACCTTGTGTAACAGCTGCGTAATACCAATCCATAGCGGGGAGTAAGACTTAGACGGCTTCTGATCCAAGCATATCGCTTGCTGAGGGTTTAGGATTTGCTATCAATGCTCCTGATCATGCTAACAGTTTGGCATAAGCGTTGGCAGAAGCGAAGTAACCCGACATATGCATTATCAGTACAGGTTTAGGCTGTGCTGTTTCATCCTACGTAGAATGGCCTAGCCATAGTGGTAGCAGGAGTCGCGATGGTGGTAATAGTGTTGGTGGTGGTCTGGAAAACAAATCGTGACGGCAATCATCATGGTCGTGGTCGTCGTGGTAGTGGTACATCAACACCAAGAATATCGGGCGACTGTAATGGCAATCACAGTCATGGCCCAGCGATGCTGATCTTACGGCGGCGATGGCTGGCAACCAATGTGCAAACCCTTAAACCCACACCTTTAACCACAAGCCCAAAAGCCTGAAGCCAATGTGCCATTTGGTCGTTGAGGCGAAAAGGAGCCGGGTCGGAGATCACAGTGTCCAGCTATCCGCTCCCACGATCAAGGAGCGGTCGAAAGAGTGTTATTCATCAGGATCTTAGGGTTGTAGAAGGGCTTTGTCAGGATTTGAGGATTTTAGAAGCGTGCGTGTTATGAGGGCTTGAGAAGGTTTTTTCCATGCATGTTCTACGCTTTTTGGAGTTCTGGGCTTAGGGTTGATATCCTTGGGCGATCTTTGTGGTTCCACGTTGATCGTGTCTTGTCCACGTTTCAGGTGTTGTATATAGGGCTTCGGATTTAGCGACATGCCACTACTTCCGGTCTCTGCCTATGGTTTTTGCAAGCTGTCTGGTTCATGGATCTTGCCATCTCCTGCGATGCGCCGATTCTCCACATAAACTGTCAACGCGTTGACTAAATAAGCATTATTAGTATACAGTATACCCTTGTCGCCCCTGTAGAACTCCTTCAGCACAGACTAAAGGGCCCTTGATGAACTCACTTGGAGCGCCGAGGGACTCGACTTGGGTTGGGTGTTCAGCGGCCGGAGGGGGATCAGATGTACCCGAAACTTGGATCTAAGACCATCAATCGAATACTGCCCCCGCGCAAAGCAGGTGAACACTATTTGTAATGTAGATGTATAGGCACTTAACAGTAGCCCGATCACAGACTGTTCCTGTGTGGGGCAGTACCCAAACCATCAGGTTCAACTCCTAAACCCGAAACTGACCCATCACTCGAAAGCTTTTTTCGGGCGCCATGTTTGCAGATTAGTGGTTGAAAGATGATGGGGACAGGCTTGGTGTTGGTTTGAAGCCGCGCTCTGAACCCAACGCCCCAAACCCTAAAAGCTCGAAGTGCTATTCGTGAAGTCGTTTTTTTAATGCTCGTGGAGCTACAAATCCTTGTTCTGATTTCTGTCATTTAGTTCTATTTGTAGGATCCCTGAATGAAAACGCACACCCCTCACCGGTGCTCTCGCGAGGAATGAGAAGCTGAGCCAGGTGGTGGGCCAGATTCCAAGATCTTCCTTTAACTGGGTGGAGCAACTTCAGCTAAGAGCTCGGAACCTCTCAAGTTCTACATGCTTGAACACTGAACCCTGGTTTCTAAATCCAAACCCCGAATGAAGCACTTTCGTCATGATATTCAGCACAGAGACTGCATCATCTTCGGGCTTCGGATTCTCGGGCTCAGGCTTTTAAGGGGGGTTTGAGCTCTCTGCAATTGGCTCGTGCCTGTGATCCGAAGTATCTAAAATCTACAGTGCCCCCTGTGGTGAATCCACATGCCAAGCGGTTGGTTTTAAGCCGAAGCCGATGTTTGCAGCCCGATGCCCAAGATCTTCAACTCAGCCAAGACGAAAGCGCCCCGGACACGGACACACAACAGTATTGCACATTCTCATCTTTGTGCGTGTGTGTGTATATATATATATACACATATATTTATAATCTATATATACACATAGATACACACCCCAAAGCCCTGTTTGAAGCCAGAGTTGTTTAGGGGCCTCCTTCAGGTGCCGTGGTGAACCTAACGTCCACCTTCGCCACCCAGTGAAGAAGAGTGGGTTTGGGGTTTGTTTTACGCTTCAGCGCCATAGATGAGGGTTTGCATCCGTCATTGATGGGAGTTTCCAGCTTGTGCTGTTTCTGCACCTTAGCAGGGTCAATTTTTGTTATCTGAGATTCACTTATGTGCAGCATTGTTGGAGGCACCGATCCTCCGTGTTCCGAGGTAAGCTCAACCCTTAAGCTGACAGCAGCTGCAGCCCTATCGCTTGATGGGGATATCACCACGGACCTCAATCTCTGCTTAGTATGAATGTTCGTGAATCGGGGCTCTTCGCCGTGGGACTGTTTCTTGGATTTGCTGACAGAGCGAGCAATGGTTGAGATTGAGGGCTTTCAAACCAAGTACAGTTGCCTCACGCCAGAGAGGCGTTTTGTAGTTCGTGGTCCTTGCACAGTCTGATTAAGCCTCTTGCTTCCTGAGGATCTGGCCCACCAACCTATTTTCTTCAGTCTTCATTGCATGCTGTCGCCCCGGGCCGCACCGCAGCCGCTTTGCTCAGTCGTCTGTAAAGGCGTTTGTCAGGGTGGAGCCCCTGACTGGACTCGCATCCCGAAGAAAAAGACCTAGCTCCGCAACCCATGAGCTCAAGGCCCTAGGCTTATGATCTGGCGATCCCCGCCACAACCGCGGTTCGGGGTTAGATTCCTGAACCCTATGCCCCAAGCATCCCAAAGCAGATGCGCACAACAGGCCGGGACAACCTAAAGCCCTAAAAGCCCAAAGTCCAATCTAACACTAAAAGGGGCGTGAGGGGAGCGAGTCCTCGGAGTGCAAAACGCGCTTTTTGAGCCTTGGTGCTCGTATGCGGAAAGACTGACCTTAAGCCGCGGACTCAGTGAGAGGCAGAGGTTTAGGGTTTCGGGCTTCGGGTTCGAGGTGTAGGGTTTCGGGTCTGGGGTCAAGGGTTCTGGGGTTTAGGGGTTTAGGATTTAGGGTCAAGGGTGTACGGTGTGGGGTGTTTCGGACGTTCAAGTTTGTGCCGCTGTTCAGGATCTTGGGTCATAGGAATCCGAACCCAAAGCCCAAAGTCCTAAATCGCTTGTGATAACTGAAGGCTACAGGGTTCCTGGCTTAGGGTTTAGCGTTTGCCTCGTATTGTCTGTTTGGTTAGCTTATAGCATAGTCGAATGGAGATCTGTCGTTTGGTAGTGAGAAGTCTCGTTCCCTACAGTCTCAGTTGTTATTGTACAGCGTACCCCTCTCTATCGGCGCTGTTCCGTACATTTCTGCAGTGCAATTTCGGCAGTTACCTGTAACGCCGAGTTGGGAGGAGGCACAAGTCGAGCTTGCATCGTTTGGGAGATGTGGTGTTTGAGTCACTTTCCTGAGATGCCGCATATTTTCAAAGTTGGGCCGGGGAGGAAAGGATTTAGGATGGGGGTTGAAGGTTTAGGGTTATTTTGCACAGTTCCCCAATATCAATGCAACCGCGACAGGGTCGTTTGGGTCACCACGTTGCAGAGTTGTCGATTCGAACGTCGCAGTCGATGGATGTTCCTGCAAAGGTACTATGATCCATAACTATCCAGGCACGTTTATCGCATAGCTCCCACCGTCTAAGTGTAGTGTACTCAAGTAATGCAAGGTTCTGTCCGTCACCAGCAGGCATGTGTGTGGTACCGTGCTCTGCGTGCCGATAGGATATGCTCGTGGTGCAGCAACTCCATATCACCAATGAGCCATCACGGATGGCCAAGACGACCACGAGCACAGCCGCAACCGTCGCCACCACCACCGCCGCCACCGACACTGCCACCCACCACCACCGACAACGACATCGCGACCATGAGCACCACCATCAGAACGACCGCGATGAACTCTGAGCGTGACAGTGACGACTGCCAGAACCGTGGCGACTAGGCGCGCCACGATGGTGGCAGTGCAGACGCAGATGCTACTACCCATTGCTTTGCAAATTTACAAAGGATGAGGACGACGAGATGGGAAAAGAGTACTGGTATGCTGGTGTTGCTGTCGCAGAGTACTATTGTTGGTGGTAGTGATGATGACCGGCTAGCGAGACTGATAGGTGTTTCGTGCTCGGAATGCAGGGTGTCGGAAACACCCACTCGCGGCCCCGAGTTAGCTCCAAGCTCCAATCCCACAGCCCTTGTTCTTTCAGACTGGCTCGTCGCCCCGAAGCAACCCAAGCCTGCAAACAGTTCAGGTTTACACTTCCAGAAACCCCATGGCTCGACCCCAATCCGTACGTCCCCACTGAACCCTAAACCCCAAGCCTTGAACCGTAAACCCTGGAGTGTTGGGTTCGGCTTCTTGGGGACCAGTTGCCTGGGCGTCGGCGTCGCCGTCGCCCAAGACGGGAGGACTCTGACTCGACCGGAAGGGTCGCCTGCAGTGATGCGTGTGGTTGACGTGGTGGACCATAAGCGGGAGCATGAGCTGCTGGCCAGCGTTCCATACAGCCCTCTCGTTCGACAGCCACACGTACCACTTCGGCTCACACGGCTGGGTGCGCAGGAAAGACCTCCGACACCCACGGTTCACCGAATCGTTGCGATTCTGCGTGGGTGTCGCAACTCACGCAGAGTTTGAAGAAAGTGAACCCTCGACGAACGCTGCCCTTCAGCTGTATCGGTTGGGGCTGGGGACCCCAATCCGGGTGCTCCTTTGCAGCCGCCGGCTGGCTGTGCTTTTTCTTCGTGGCGTGACTCGCTGTCGCCTCAGCTTAAATGAGCAATCGTCAAGAGTATTGGGGGGGATCAGAAGAAGACGAGCTAAAGCGGTGGCAAAGGGCAAGGCGTGTAACGGGAGCGTTCAACCAGAGGAACCGCTGATATGCGAAGGGACGGACGTGCACGTGCAGAGCTCTCATGTGGATATGGTACAGGCAAAGGCTCCCACCGAGGGCAAGATAGAGGACCAATCTTTGGTTGGTTGTTCCGATTTAGAGCTTGGTGTGTGGGATGGGTGTTGCCATAAAATCTGGTGCCTAGCCCGTCTGATGAGGTTCTCCGATGGCACCATTCAAGCTGGACCTGCCAAGCTGATGGGGGTCAACACTCTGTGTTCGAGGATGCAGTGCATGGTGATGTTCGCTGGGATGTGTCTTCCCGGTCTGCGAAAACTGGTATGGACATTCCGAGGGTCATGCTGACGAGAGTAACTGTGCTGAGTGCGAGGATGCAATGCTGACTGATTCTCGCTGGGACGAGTCTGCCCGGGTTTACAACAACTGGTATGGACATTCCTGGGAGGATGCTTTCAACCCAGCTCGCAAGCGCTGGTATATGGGACGGCTGAGCTCGGAATGTCAGGCTGATGAGGGTAGCCATGTTGAGTTCGAGGAAGCAATGCGGACTGATTCTCGCTGGGACGAGACTGCCGCGGCTTTACAAGAACTGGTATGGACATTCCTGGGACGATACATTTGACCCTGTTCGCAAGCGCTGGTGTAGACGTTCATGGGACTGGCCTAGATGGAGATACCAGGCCAATCTGGTACACTTTTGTTTGGCAAGGCCGTGGAAACAGCGGTGGCACGGGAGCTTGAATTGACAAGGTTGATAAGGATGGCAGTTGTCTAGGACGGATGACTTCGAACGCTGTTGAGAGCTAGGGTTTCACGAGGATTGTGTTTCATGTGCTTGAGGTCGCTGGCACGTGCAGATTGCTCTGCTTCATACTTTGCTGTTGAGAATCTTCCAGACCGGGCTGTGCTTGCAAAGCCAACTTGCATGCTCCCTCCAAGGTGAGGCATGCAAATGCATGGCCAAGCTGAGATAGCTGGGGTTCGGGTATGTCGCCTTTTTCCCTCTTACAAGTGAGTGTGTGCGAAGGGCCGAATTTCTCCTGGCCCATGTGGTCTTTCGGTACCTTCGGCCGGCGGAAAAAGGAATTCAAAAAGACCCAGGCTCTAAAGGCTGAACCCTGAAGCCTAAGGATAAACCTCAACCCTAAGCCCTCAGCTCTAGATCTCGAAAGCATCGAACTGCCAAGGCCGTTGGCCCTAAAGCCGAAAACCTCCGGTGGGCCGGGCCACTTGGTTGATTTGTCTATAGTCTCCGTAGGAATTCCTGTGTATTCTGGTTCATCTAACTAACACCCAAGAGACAAATATCAATGTTGTTTTGTATTATGGTTAAACCGGGTGGTATAATTGTATCTTCAGTATATACAAATGTCGGTAGCATTAGATTCAGTTCTCTTATGCATATGCAAAACTTTGTATACATAACCATTCCTGTTTATTCCAAGGTTATAGACAGTACATCTGGTGCTGTTTTTTGCGCCACAAAGTTATGGTGGACTGAATGGTTGCTGACAACAGGCCCTGGCAGTCCCGATATCTTTCAGGGTTTTGAGCAGTAAGGCCCTGAGCCAAGGTCCCGATGGAGTTGGATTTTCACATAGTTTCGGGGGTCAGGGAACTCAGGGAACAGGAGCCTGAACCCTAAGAGAGCGTCAACCCATCGAGATTGAAACCCTAGGCCCTAACCCCCAAACCCCTTTAAACCTAATCCCTAAAGCTTCAACCCTAGACATCCTATAAAAGCTCAGGAATTCAACCCGAAACGGCTTTGCTTGATGGGTTTCGGGTGCCTGAAGCTTGGGGCGGTCGAGGTCGCACGGGGCCGAGGATCCCATGGGTGGCCCAGTAGTTTCGGCTTAGGATTCACGGCTTATGGTTTAGGAGTTAGCAGCCCCAAACTTGGGGTTCAATCTCACACCCTAAATTATACGTACTGCGTGAGTGAGTGAGTGAGTGAGTGTGGCTGGGTATTGTGAGGCCCCAGCAGGATCAGCCGTTGCTTCCGCCCGAAGGTTAAAGCGCAAAGCTGCAGGCCGGCTCCACACGAACGCCGTGCATCATGGCAAACCCGATGCACCCTTAACCATGACAGGGCTCTCGAAACCGAACTGGAGAGGACACTAGGCAAGCCCGCCACCTGCACCTCCTAGCAAAGGAAATTGCTAGGAAGGCCGGCATAAGGGCAAGACAGCATGCCATCCTCGATACCTCTGCCAGATCAAACGGCTCTTCCCGACGCAATCGCTCGCGACGGTACTGGGCCAGGTCTGGAGCGTCCCCGACAGGGCGCGGGTTGGTAGCTGCTGCCAAGCATGGCTAGTGCTCTTCCCGTTGGGTCCCTCCGCGGGTACTGGGCACCAAAGCAGCTCATCCAACCCCGAGGGCGCGACACGCTCATCACTCGGTTCACGCCTGGCGGTGGCAAGGGGCCGCCTCCACCGATGGCAAACAGTCTGCCACCCCCCTGACCGCAAACTCACAAACAGTTTTCCCTCTGAGTGAATGGCCCAATGCCTGCAACTAGCGGCAGAGACCAGCGCGAGAGGGGAAAATTATACGTACTGCATGTCAACATTCAAGTATTTCGCCGACCATGAAATATTCTTCTGATAGGCTGGTTGATTTTTGTCCAGTGTTATTTCAAGGTCGAGAGCATTGGCCGTCGGTTAAGAGAATGAGGACTCAGAACCGCACCGAACACAGAAAAGGAGCTTCGCTGATCAGCAGTATTGCTATACATGGTAGTAAAAAGTAAAAAGGGTTCAGGGTGGTAGTTTCCCCTTTTCCAATACGCGTGCTTTGCCAGAACCAATGTTGCGCAGGGTCCGTGTTAAGAAGGGAAACCACAAACGATGCTGTTCCGAGGGATAATAGAGTACAGACGTCTGAAGCCAAAAGCCCTACAGGACCCCAGTCTGCATCTGAGGATATGTGGAGCCGATGTTCAAATCAGTTGCAGTTGGTGCAGAGGAGCCTTTTTCTGAGGCACAGCTTTCTCGCGAAGTCAGGAGGGTGGTTTGGTAAAGAAACGGGGAGGGAATTGGAGGAATAGTTTTCCTCGTAGTCCGAGAGCACTGACCGTAAAAGGTGCCCCGCACACTGGTCCAATCTGGCCCCGACATTGGAGTTCGATGGTCAGAGTTTGGGAGCGTGGGTGTGGGCAGAATCCAGCAATCGTACAGAACTACTATAGGGGCCTTAATGATTTCCTATACTACGTTGCGGGTTCGACATCATAAAAGTTATATGCTAGTACACCGTCATAGCCCTATTCTACTTATCAAGGCCTCTGCGTTGGAGCCTGTCTCGTATCATGCAGGTTGTGTCGGGAGGCCTGGGCCCAAAGTCACAAACCTTCACCTCAGGCTTAAACACTACATCCCATGCGAAAGCACGTTCGAGGCACTAGAACAGAACAAGCCGCTGAAAGCCTCACATCAAGCATAAATCAGACCTCAAAACCCTCAACGGAGACCCCCAACTTCCCCCAACCATGAGTCTCATAGGTTTCAGGCCCAAGAGGAGACAATTTGAGAGCAAAATCCAAGCGTCTGAACCCCATACCTCAGGTTTACGGTTTAGGGCTAGACCCAAGAGCCCTAAACCTTGGAGCCCTCTCCAACCCGTAAACCGTAGACCCCGAGACTCCCCAAAAAGAACATGTATAAAGGAATCGATTTCTCAAACATATGACTGTGTGGCATTACCGAAGTTTAGGGTATATAACGGTGTATTCCGTCATGACTTGGGAGTTGGGAGTCTGTGGTTTCAGCCTGATGCAGGTTTGAGGGGGAAGAAGTCGAGTCCCAGTATGTGCAGCACATCGCAGCTCGTGGGCCGTGGCATCCCGGACCGCTTTAGAATCTAGAAGGCCTCCCGAGTTTCTCACAGGTTCTATAATCACGGGCTTAGGGGTTTTGCACCTAGTTGGAGTCTTCCTAAGGCAAGCTTAGGAACATAGGAAAAGCAGCGATGAAAGCCTTGAAGTTGCACATACCACGACCCTAACCCTCCGCTTTAGCGCAGGACACAAAGCCCAACAACAGCTGCGTCAGAACGCCAGAGACCCGCAATGCCGAAACAAACAGTTCCAAGGGTCCAAGGTCCCAGGTGTTGAATGACCGCGCTGCGAACCCTGTTAAACTCTCTGCACCATCAGCACCAGCGCCGTCACACGACAGAGCAACCGGAAGGTTCGCCAGCGCAGGGTATTGAGGTCTCTGCTGGGCAGCGAGTGGGGTTGCCCACTACAGGCGAGATCTTTGGCTATTAGGCTTTGGAATTCCAAACCCAGCTATCTTCGAAGCCCTAACCCCGAAACTCCTAAGGCAGATTCTGCCGACTAACTGCTAGGTGGAAAGAAAGGTGCTTAGCAAAATAATCTCCTAAAGCTCTAGACCCCAAAAGCCCTAAACTTTAACTCCCAACCTAACCCCTGAAAGTCCTAAAACCTGAACCCTTGACTCTTGACCCCTGAACCCCTTCTTCGGCCACTGACTCCGAGGGGCTGCCTCCTCGGATGCTTCGTCTTCTTCTGGCCTTGGACGGCTTGGGAGCTGGGCTTTTTGCTGAACGAGTGTGGAGGACTCGATGATGGGGCCGGGTGTTTGGGTTTGAGATTTGGGGTCTAGTGCTTTAGTGGTTTTAGGACTATGGGTTTATGGGTTTCGCGGCCGAAACCCTAAGCCCTACCCTGTGGAAGATTTGATGGGGCACGGCAAGTCTTAGGTCTTCGGGTCAAATTCCGAAGCTCAGGGGCGAAACCTCCATCATTCCATTTGGGCTTGGGTGTTCGAGTTGGCCCTGGCAGACCCTAAGCCCTTCAATATCGTAGGCTTCAGGTTTTGTGTTGAAGGGCTGCGGCCTAGGGTTTAGGGTTGCGGACTTGTCGCGCTCGGAGGCTTTCAGTTCCGGGTGTATTGGGTTTGTTAGTGTCGAAACTTGAAGACCCCACATACTCCCTTAACCTTTCCATACCTAGGCAAGAGTTCCTCCCTTCAAGAAGCAAGAATTTCTCAGCCACAATTAGACTCCAGACGTTGAGTTCAGTTCGCAAACGCCAAAAACTGTAGCCTTTGTAGCGGCCTGGATAGTTTGAATGGGAGGTTGGGGGTGTATCATGAGTATACTTATAAAGGGAGTTAATGGGATGTTATAGAAGGATAGTATAATATGTAGCATATATACAACAGACACACACAATATATATATATATATATATATATATATATATATATATATATATGTATGTATGTATGTATGTATGTATGTATGTATGTATATATATATATATATATATATATATATGTATGTATGTATGTATGTATGTATGTATGTATGTATGTATGTATATATGTATATGTATATATGTATACATATATATATGTATATATATATATATATATATCTATATATATATATATATATACATATATATATATCATTGCGAGCCAGAGACGCCAAAGATCCCCCAAATCTTTTGGCCACGTACTCTTTGGATCAAAGTCGGAAAACCGAATATCCAGAAACACTCGGCGCTTTAAGCCCTGATGTAGACGGTAATCCGGTAATCGTGATCCCTGAGAGTCCCACGATACTTCTACTCGACAATTCAGCTAGGCC